TAATAAAGAAATAGTGGAGTGGTGGATTTACATATTTAGTAAAAGCTGCAGTGGACACGTTATTTACGACCCTAAAACCTTTTATATTGTAAACAACTTAACATCGACACAATGGGATGATTTTATGATGGCCATATAACCTTATAGCTTCTGGTCTACTATAGTTAATTTAATCCGTAAAAAACAAAACCAAGATGTATTCGCTTTTATTTATGTCTGAAAAGAACTCAACAGTATTTCTTCTGTACCTTTAACAATGTTGAATTTATCTTGATCTGTCAGGTGTTGTTCACCGAGTAACTAACGCCTTCCGTGTCGCTAAAATTAAAGCCCGTCCTTCCACATTCGTCCGCCTCTAAATGCCGCCTCGTGGTCACCACTTCGTTGACCTTTGTGCTATTCACTCCGGATCTAAATGTAATGAAGGATGTCTTCATGTGCAATTAAAAATGCAGAAGGAAATGTCATTGGTAATGACCTTGACTGTGGGGCCGGTGGAGGCATACTGCATGCGCGAGGGCCTCGTATCGACCCGTCCTCAGACTAGGATCCGAAGGATTCCTGCCGCACTAGGTCAGTGCTCGGCGGATTTTGCCGGCCGCGGTACTCGCTCCACTCACTGCCGCCACCGTATCGTTTCGCATCTATCGCGTGACCAACATCTGATGGGAAACTTTTCAGTCTCGAAATTGCGATGCTCGAGCGGTGATGAGCAACCCCGAAAATAACCCCATTCTACGGTATAGAGAGTTTTGTGACGATCTTTTAAAAAAATGCAAATAATATTTAAAATTAAAAAATGCAAAATTTTTCTTAAACAAAAAATAGAAAACTATTTTTAGACCTCTTTTATTACATACTTTTGTTTCACAGTTTGGAGCGCCTTCACTCGTTACAAATTTTCAAACTAAAATAAACTTCAAAATCAGCTGATTTTTATTCGTAGTGAACTTGCCGGCATTGGAACTTTGGTTTATGGGTCTCAGACATACATTAACCTTGGTGGACGTATTTGTATGAATGAATGTGGAGTTGTTAATTATTCAACTTGTTTATTCATTGTGATTCATGTAACCGGCGCATCCACCAAAAACGCCAGGTAGTCAAGTCGAGTTACGGTAGTGGAATTAATTGAACTATTGCTTAAATTTTAAGCAACTTACATCAGTTCTCAATGTTCAAGGTGCCCTAAAGCACTTAAAGTTATTAAAGAAAGTGGGTTGTTTAACCCGATTATAAATCTCGTCTACGTAAAGCACACCTATTTGTTCAAGTCCTCATTTCATGAGAGATTCTGCTGTATAAATTTGAGTTTAAAATACAACGAATCGTTTTATTTTGCAGTAAATATTATTTGCATTGTTTTAATTTAAAGCCGTGAGTGAACTTTAAGTTTTCATTTATAAAACCGACAAGCGTAATTTGTCCACTAAAAGACTGAAGTGAATTGGAAAATTCGTTAGAATGAAATTTCTGTTATGCCTACTGAGAAAACGACAACACAGAGATCTTTGTTACAAAGGGCGAGAGATAAATTGTTTAAGTGGTTTCGAAATTTAGGGCATCAGGTAAGCCTACAAACAGCCACGCTTTTCATACAACTCATTTTCATCAGGCAGTTAATTGAGGTTTTTGTTGTTGTTCATGGTTCGTAAAATTGGTATTTGTTTGTTTATAAATAACGCCGCGTTAAACTTATTGACTGAAACATTCGCCAATTCTAAGTGTTTTTCACTCCAGTTCGTTTAAATAAGCCGGTAAGTGATCTGCCAGTAACGTTAAATCACTGTGAAACAAAATCCGTCATCTATATCCACGATCCGTCGGGGTTAGTCGTTATTTGTTCTTCATAAAGTAGTTTCATTTGACCAATGAACTTGAAGTTTTTCTACACTTTGAATTGCGAACCGAGACCCAGTTAAATGAATATTATTAGACGTTATAACAATAAGTAACGCTTTAATAACGGAACAATTGTTTACCATGACACAGTTATGACAAGGCAGAGATTGTGTTTAGTGTCTTGTAGCAAGTTAATGAACCTAATCGAATTACTTGAATAAAAAATGACGGTTTGAAGAGTCAATTACTTTTAAGAGAGGAGGAGCAAATAGATTAGTTGTGGTGAGGTTATTTATTTTTCCAAAGCTTGTCAATTACTTCAAGGAATTGTTGTTAATATTGAGGCCAATATGACTTTCATGGAAAAACAAATGCAAAGATTGTTTCAGGCTTTGATGAATGTCGTAAATCCTACAATCGACAGAACAGTCTTATCTTACATCATGTGTCTCATATGAATTAATTTTACAGTGTTTTTGTTCTTTAAATACGTACAGGTGTTTCAGTACAGGCTTGCCCCATTTTATAATTTTTTTAAATTATGAAGTTAAGCTGCCAAAATTCGAAAAAAAAACTGTAATATTATTAAGTATGCCGGGTGCCAGGCATCAATTTTTAAAACGCTCGTTTCTTATGTATTTTTTTTATTCAAATTGTTATTGCGTTATTTAGTTGGCTTTCCACTATGGCATACAAAAAGCTGATGATATACCCTTTGGAAGTTTTGAGAAATATTTTACAATATTTGAAAATTTTAAGCAAAGCAGCCTGAAAAATAATGAAAATAAGCTTTGGATTTGGTGATCCCTTGTACCAGTTACGCGACGCTTAAATAACGGTTTCGTGGTGACTGTTTTTTAGTCTTGAAAAGAAATTTTATTATCTTAAAGGTACACATTATCTAAAAATACTTGAGCAGTTTTATTTCACCGATTTATTTTTAAAACTCTCAAGGGGTTGAAAACGGCGAACTGTTAATATTACATCAAGCTGAGGCATTATGGATTCGTTTTACCACTAAAATTTAAAAGCAGTTTTATTAGAAACTGCCATGTGCCGTTTGGACAAAAAGCAACCTTGAGTCAGGCGGCGGCGGCGGCGAAACTATGTGAAGCTCTGCCAAAATCTTTGAACAGAACCGAGAGTAAACTACTGAACACTACTGATTTTTTGATATAATAACATAATATCATGATGTATAAGCATGTTTATTTTTTTTTTTTTTTTGTGAAACTAAACTCATTTTAATGTTCCAATCTCCCAAATTTCGAATTTTGTAAATTATTTTCAAAACTATCACGTAAACTTAACATGTTTTTAGGGATATGTAGAGTGTAAACATTGATTTGATTGTTTTCCACGGTCATGAATATTTGAACACATCCGGTAAAAAATCTGCCATTTTAAAAATAGCAATAACAATTAAAAAGATTAGTGAAAATTGGTTTTTGGCGTATGACAAATTTAGCAACTCCATAATATTTTTTATTAAATAGTGTACGGTTTATTTTTATGAATAAAAATTTTAGAAACTGCTTCTTGGATGAAACACCTTTCATAGAATTGTATAGCATACGAGTTATTACTTGTAATAGTATTTGAACTGTCTATGAAGTTCGTTCGAGCACTGATTTGACTAGAGCTCAATTTAATCCTATATCAAATTAACGTATCCCTTGTATCACATTCACTCCAATCCTGCTTTCTGAGTTGATTGCTACAAAGTGCGTAATTCTGAATACCTAACGTTCTGTTTTACTATTTTGATAGGGAAAGATTTTTTCATATTTAGTCCAAAATAGCAAGCAATAAGTTAGTAATTGTTTTATTGTTAAGAACGAGCAAAGTAGGGCGATCAAGAAAAATGTTCCTCTAATCGGTGCTGGATTTTAGCTGTCTGTTCCGTTTCCCGTGGTGAGAGCAGCCTCAACTTGGGGACGTTTTCCGACGGCCTGCTTTTAGCATACGTGTAATTAATGTATTGTGGACGGAATGAGTAAAAATTTTGTCACATAAAGTCTCTACCCGCCACAATTTCATTATTCTGCACAATGATAAATATACTTGAGGGCGTAGTAAGACAGAATGGTTACATTTTGATGATGAAAGGCATACGGTGTTCCATAAATTCTCATTCCTTCATTTTGTTTTGTTCATTTTCAAGCAACATGTACACATTGACACCTAGTGATCTGTCTTTATTATTACTTGACAAGCTTTCTAGCTTATTTGATATTCTTGGCAAATATTTGTATTCCTCCTTTATTTTTCCAATTTTCTCTAAAAACAGAGGTCAAACAATAAAAGTTTCATTACGAAGTTTGCTTTTAATCTACATTTGTATGATACACAATAATTGGGAAAACTACTCAGAATACTAAAGCATGCAAATTATATCGCAATCAGTAAGATTACCTTGCATCACGGAAATCATCTTCAAAATATATCGCATGTGCGTAAATAGGCAAAACAAACTAATAAGAAGCCGATATTTTCAGTCATTATAAAGGATATTTTTAATTAAGCATCAAAGTATTAATTAAATTCTTGACAAAAATATTTCATTTCATTTAAAACTATAAACTGACGTTTTCGTATACACATATGCACAAAGCCATGTGCAAATGGACATCACCAAGAGTTATTAAATATTTATACATGTACCTATGCATATTTTGAAATTTTAATAATTGTTATATGAAGTGTTCCAGTATATTGGTGCAAAATATTAGCTAAATATTTCATAAAGAAGTAATAAGAAGACATGCTGTCAAATAAAGATTTGAAGGATTTTTTTCTCGGTAGCTGGATTCGGTCGTTCAAACTAAATATTTAATTAAAATTCCTTGTAAAATTTCTTTTCCTTTTTTTGGACGTATAAAATACCTCCATAGCCTTTTATGTAAGTCTATTAGACAAAAATGATGAGTAAAATCGGAACTAAGTATATTTCTGAGGTTTAAACGAACGGTTTTAAACGTTACAGTTTTACTGTGATACTGTAAATGGTTACATATTTAATTACTACTATGGTTGATAACGTCTGTAACTTTTCAAAAACGATATTATTTCACTAAAAAATACAATAGAAATCATAGAAAGTAGTTAAGCTCATAAGGTATGCAATTAATTTTACTTGTATTCTACTCCTGTTGCAGAATGATGGAACAAGCCACGATGCAGACGTACAACTCGACGAAGAATGTGCAAAAGTGTTTGCTATGGACATTGACAACAGTGCCGGTTTCGACATACATAAATTCCATGATCCTGTCAATGCAGGCATACCAAGGCAATATGGGGAAAAAGATTACATCCGTAAGTATTACAAACTTCTGTACTATATAAAAATAACATTTAAAAAATCTTTAAAAACAGCGTGATCATGATCTCAAATTTTCAATACTTTTCAATAGGTTTTTCACAGTTTTTAAGAAAATTGATCTTTCCGTGTAAAATTGTGATTTCTAATTTAGTGTTAATATAAAACAGGATTGATTCAAATAAACTTTCAAAATAAAGTAAATCAAACAAAGGCGGGAAATAATAATTGGAATATTTGTACATACCTTATTTTTAAATTTCCAATGAAATTTAACACATGTATTAAATTTAATTGTTACACCATATTAAAATAAATCTATGAGCTTTTCTATTTTATTGCCAAATCAGCATTTATAGCTTCCGTGACGGTAAATTCAGTTTAATTTTGACATAAATGGAATCAACATCAATCTATGTTGTCTCCTACGAGATAAGTCAAAAGTTAGCACGATAACATCCAACTATTATTTAAAAATAGTATTCATTATTTTTGGAATTTCAATATTAACTTTTATTCCTTTGCATGCTGCACGTTAACCGTTTCTATATTTCGAATATATTATTCTTATTAACTTTATAGCTTGCAAAGTACTGAAATTATTTTATGTAGAATTTTTTACAATAGGTCTGAAACGAAGAAGCTAGTGAGCCTGAAAAAAAAATGCAGATTTTGATCGAAAGTTTAACAATACAAATGAATATTATCTCAACTGTAGGAAATATTTTGTAGATTTTTAACATCTACCTGATTTTGTTGTGTTTGAGCATCTATAATAATAAAAAAAAAAATCTTTAATGTCATTGTGAAACTCATACCGGTTTATAAATACATGCAAATGTGTACAAGTTTAATTAAGTGTTAACATTTATCTTACACAAACTGGTTTTAGCTGGTACGTAATTTATGCAATACCAACTGGTTTTTTGTGTGCATTTAAATTTACCTAATAAGCTTAGGAACAGCAAACTTATGAATGAAAGTTTTAGTTCGCATAAAAGTTCCCAAGTATAATTAAGTCATATTTGATGACATAAATTTTCGTGCCGTGATGGCCCTGGCGTGATACACGATTGTTGTATTGAACTAAAAGTCTATTATTGGAACATAATGAAGATCATAGCAAAAAAGATAATTTACCTAAACTTTATTAGTATAATAGAAACTTAATAGTTCATGTCAGCAAAATATAGTGAAATATTATTAAATTGAGAAGAAACCCAAATTTTAGATTTATGAGGGTATTGACAAGTCATGAGTCGACGTTATCAATATTATATCTATTTATTACTATTTGCTCACATATTATTAAAACTTCAATTTACCTTGAAAATACATGTAGCATGTCGTAAAATAAGGTAATGAAACAGCAATTTTTATTTTGGGTAGCAGGTAGCACCAATTTTAATTTTTGAATATTTTCTTTTCAGAAGTTTTTTTTTTTATTTTCTGACGTAGACGCTGTACTAGTAATTATTTCTATTATACATTGGCCCCTAATAGTTACATATTCAAGCATAAGATTAAAGAAAACTTATGACATATTTTTAATAACATACACTTACCTTACTAGGTAATTTTACAACACAAAAATTATTACATACCATCTTAATACTTGTCATAAAATATCGAATTATTTTTTGTAAATTAATTTCATAAACACGAAACATCAAAAATATATTAAAGTAATCCCATCAATTTACGCAATTTAAAAACTCGTTTCTTATTATTCTTGATGAAAACATAGATCGCGTAGTCGCGTGTCGTTTGATACGACAAGAGCTGTAACAATTTACATCTTTTTTTAAGTATCATGCAACTTAAAGTATTTAAGTTTAGTTTTTACGGCGTTGCGAGCAGGAATGCGTAATTCTGGATCTTCATCTATCAATAAACGTTTTAATTGGATCGGCTGTAGCAATATTGTGTTCAGGTGTCTCAACAACAACTCGTGATGAGAATATTTAAGTAATGTTAAATTTTCTTAAAAAAAAAGTATCTTCTCGACTACATTTTCCAATGAAACTACCAAATTTGTCAAGGTTAAAGTAATGAAAAAGTTATTAATACGAGAACAGAATTACTAATTTAGTAAACAGAAAAAGATACATAAAACAAATAAATTGTATGTTTAAGGTTCGATTGCTAAATCTTGTTTTTTTTGTCAATATGATAACAATTTTGTGATGAACGATCCTTTTCAGAATTTTGCAACATTTATTGTTAACTGTGTATAATAATGAATAACAAATAATAACAAACAAGTACTAAAAAACGTTAACAAGGTTCTTTCATCTACTAGATTTTTACCAAGCTGAATAAAAAAATATACAATAGTAACTGAGTAATTTTATTGTTAATAGCATTGTAACTAACAAAAACGTAACAATTAGCTACAGAAAAACATTTCTTTGACTTCGATGCGTGTTATTGTGTCAAAGTTTTTGTTAATATTTATGTGGTTTTAAAATTTTTTTCTTGTATGACACAATATAGAAAAGGTTCGTCAAACCACTTCTACAATGTTTACTAAATAAGCAAAATTTATTATTTTTAGGGCAAATTTTTCCATCGTAAGTTACTCGGTGTATTTATTGAGGACGTGACCATCGATTTAACTTCTGATAATTTGTCATTATATTATAATGCCAATTGTTTTTATACCGTTTGTAAAAAACTACGATGACGCATAAAGTGAAAAAGAATATAGCTAAAAACGGTATACTTTGAATGACATAGGATTTGAACGACAATGACTTATTTCCCACTACAGCTTCTCATTTCTTCTTACTTGGAATATCACGGTCATTTATATTTTAAAATTGTATCTGTATCAATTATTATAATTTATTTTATGCTAGTGTTACAATAGTACGCACTTTACCGGCATCGTTGAAATGGTTCTCACTGCATTATGTGATGTCCTGTTGGCAGGTAATGAAAATATTTATTTTATTTTAAGTATCAGTACGGTTACTGCAGTTAAGTTCGCTCTACAATATATATATTTTTTTAAATCCGTTAATGCTATTTGATGTATTACTGTCTTGTAACGCTGTAGCCATGTCTGGAATAGAGCATAAGAGGTATTACGTAAATATCAAGTTTCGTATTGTGAATCTTCTGGTAAGCCTGAATTGAATACAGACACAGCGTAACTAGTCCGATATGATTGCATTAACGCTTTATGTATTTTTGTAATTCCCATGTACATATGTTCAAAATGCTCTAAAAATGTATGATTTTAACACTGGTAAAGTGATCTCAGTTTTGTTAAGTTTAGGGTTAGTTTATTGAATATTTTAATTCAGATTAAGGCAATCGCGCATTCAATGAACCATTTAGCGACATAATATGTCACAAAAAAAAAATAATTGCAATCAATTATTTAATTAATCCTTTTTTTCATTTTATCAGGGTCGGACATTTATTATAGTATTAATTCTCGGTCATTTTTTGCTAATGTTTTTCTGTCAGATTAACCTAAATCTCACATATCATTTGCAGTAATACTATAATAAGTAACCTTCAAATAGCGCATGCAATGCATGCAGTGTGCACCGGGTAATTCAGATGAAGTTTAATTAAAGAGCGTTCAAAAAACTAAACGATTTGTCTTCATTTATTATATATATTGTTATTTTAAGTATTTTTATTATATTGCTTATGAGTATTACTGGTTGCCTAAAAGTTGGAAATAAAATTTAACTAGGGAAAAATGTTTTAAATAAACTTTATTTATATTTATAAAAATTGTCCAAAATGACCGCCATCATTTTCTACACAAAATTTTACCCCTTCGTTATATTTCCAAAAACATTAATCAAATAGGTGATTTAGCCTGATGAAGTTCAGTAACAGCATTCTTCAAATCATTAATATCATTAATGTTCTTCCTGAATATGGAGTCTATGGATCTGGGAGAGCACAAATCAACGGAAATTAAGATTAGGTCAAAATATTCTTTGATTGTTGCATTGGCTATATGGGTGGTGCAGCATCTTGTTGAAAGTTATGTATGGTTGTTTCGAAATTGAGCATTAAAGCCTATAAGACATTCCCACCCAAACACCTGGTTTTACAAAGCCATTCCAATAAATCCAACGCTTCGTCTCGTCTCAATAAAATGTTAAATCTATTTAGAAGCTCATCGTTCATATTTTGCTCAAACTATCGACAGTAATTCTAGCATTTAAGATAGTCTCGATTAAAGTTCCACTGAATCACCTGGTGGTATGTTATATGTATATACCCAAAATTTGTCTGATCATCCCCACCAACAATTTGACGACGTCACCTCAAAATTTTGCTTAGGGTTAGTCAGGGAGAAAGGGAGTCCTTTTTAATAACTACGACATTATTGAAATCAAGCAAATGTACCATTTGTCACCGTTTCTACTATACATGTATAGTTGAACATGTGTTTTGCCGTGATTTGTGTTAAAATAGAAAATAGGTAATTGTTCGATAATTTGAAGGACTTGAAAATATTTTAATCGTGTAAATTGAATTGAAAACTCGGGTACACAACGCGATTTGTCAGGTCATTATCGGTGTCTGTTAATTCTGTAGGCCGTTGGGGTTATGTCAGGTTGATGACATTATTAATTTTAAACTGTGTATAGGAAAATAAATATTGGGTGGACTAATAACTCTCACACATTGATGGGTGAGACGGACCAGCAATATCACCGCCCAAATTGAAATACCATAATATACCAGCAGATGCAACCTCATTATCAAAAGATAGTCAACTGACACTATTTCATGTACAGAAACTTGAATATAAAGTCTTGTCAGGAGGTGTTACTAAAGAAATAAATCAGGATGACTATATCATACGTATATCATTCATAAAGTCAAAAACCGATTTAGGCAAGTAGCAAGTGTATTAAGATCTCTGGAGCATATTGAAAAACATGGAAAGAAGAAGAATATTTAAGTCGGTCCCAGAAGAAGATCTCAGTGACTTTGTGTCACAACAATCGTCAAGAAT